GTGTGTGTGTGTGTGTGTTTTAAGGTGGGGAGGGGTCTCAGCAGGCCTTTTCCAACATATTTTTTGTCATCCAACCACTTCAGTTTTTCACTGCCTAATGTGGGGTTCCCACTCCCACATATGTTAGACAAGATAACACACACAAAATCACAATTACTCTACAGTAACAGAGTCATGTAAAATTGCACACAAAAGCCTTCTCATTTTGTTTTATGCAAGGACATTTTTGACATTAAACAAAATACCCCAACAACAATGATATGAAAGTTGAGGGGAAAAGAATGAAAAACAGAACAGGCGGCAGCGTGGATTTTCTCACTTTGAATATCTCTAGCAAGATACTTAAATATAGTTGTGTGTGGACCAAAACCTGAGACCTCTGTCCTACAACTGTTCTTAATAGTTCTGAGAAAATACACTTATATAGCAAAAATACACATTCTTAACCTGAATTAGACTGATAATGTCCTCACGTTTGCAAAGCAGCCTGTAGTCACCCACTAGTTAGTTTAGCTGAGCATGAAGACTGGATTTGTCCAGCATTTAGTATACTGTACGGACATAAGTACTGGGTCAACTACAAATGACTACACATTATATTTTTATTACCCTGTCTTCCTCCCCTCACCCCAGCAGATGGCCCCGCCCCTCCCTGAGCCTGGTTCTGCTGTTAAAAGGGAGTTTTTCCTTCCCACTGTCACCAACGAGCTTCTCATAGGGGATCGTATGATTGTTTGGTTTTTCTCTGTATGCATTATTGTAGGGTCTACCTTACAATATAAAGTGCCTTGAGGTGACTGTTGTTGTGATTTGGCGCTGTATAAATAAAACTAAATTGAATCATACCTACACATACCTGCTCTACCATAGAAACCCATTCCATGAAACTCCCAAAACACTGTTTTTGTGCTAATGTTAATGCCCAAGTAAGCTTGGAGCTCTGCAGAGTGAACAGAGCATCTGTGATGTTTAAGCACTATGTGCCTTAGCACTCTCCAATGCCACTCTCTAACTTAAACAGTCTGCCACATTTTGGCTAAGTTGCTGTCATCTCTAAGCACTTCCAGTTTTGCATTTGGCATTCTGTTACAGTACAGTGGTAAAATTCATCTCTTCAGAAGAAACCATTGTGTGTAAGACTCATTGCATCTGTACAAGAACCATTGTTCTACAGGATAAGATGTTTCCAGTGGTATTTGTTTTAAAATGATTAAATGAGGGATTTCAGAAGAAGCCTATGAATTACCTAAAGGATATATGTTTGAAAAGTGCCTCCAGTAAAAAATGCAACTGAGGATATATCAAGTCCAAAGGACAACACGTGGAGGTCTTGGACTTCAAACAAAAAGCAGAACTTCTTCACAGTTTCACCAACGCTGCTGTGGAACAAGCTAAAACGATAGTCACGCTAAAACAACCATTAACCAAGGAAATACTGTCATTGAAACTCAGTCCAATTAGTTTGGTGCAGTGGTGGACGACGAACGGGTTCCGGCTGGGATCTTTGCTGACCCAGCATCTCTGGAAGTAACACGCGCTTCGATTCCCTTAAGCTCCATGGTCAGAGCCATTCATCCAGCAACTTATGTTGTGGGCCGCTACTCTACGATGGCACCGCAAGGTGACTTGACCTGTTCCACTGTGCTGATCACTGCACCACAGGTGGCAATAAAAACAGAGAATGATGCCCTTCCTCTCTCCAACTACCAGATTTGCAGCTCACCTATAGGTGCACTTGCCCACTCTGCCTCACCTATGAAGTCCACCAACCATCCACCAGAAATGCCAGCAGAACCTACTGTCTATTAAACACAGTAATTCCAGTGTCCGTTATGCCAGTTGAACTCAAATCCCTTCTAACTACACTCCCTAATTCAGTCAATATAATTATTGCTC